TTGCAGTGCTGGGGCCCTGGGTTCAACTGCAGACCAGGGGGTGCTGTCTGTGTGGAGTTTGCATGTTCTCCCTGGTCTTGCTTGGGTTTCTCCCTCAGCCTAAAGACATACTCATGGGATAATTGGCCTCTGAAAACATCGTGTTTGTATCTGTATGTGCCTGGAAATAGACTTGCATCCCATCCAGGGTGAATCCTGCTTTGCACCCATTGCTTGTTGGAATAGGCTTCAGCTCCCCCCAGCCCTGGACTGGATAAAGTGGATGTATTAATTATATTCATAATTATTTTCTGTTAATGGGAATCTACTATTGTGCTAAGACATACAGTAAGTGATGATAACAGCAATACTTAAGCTGTTCCATTTGGTTGACTTTCATTTCAGCACTTCAGCCCAGCCCTTGCAGTTAGCGTGAGTATAAACTCTAAATGCACTTGCATGACATTTAAAAGAGGGAAGAAAGAGCATGTACTGTATAAGCACACTAAGCGTTGCCACAGCAGTCAGCAAGGGTGTGACCAGGCATGAATGAGAGCATTCTTGCACACAGAATGAACCATGTTTACTTTTTTTATGGCAGCCTTTTGTTGAGGGAAAGGAAGGTGTAAATTGGTGTTGGTACTCAACCTGAAAGGAATGAAAAAGGTGATTACCTCTGTGTCTTAAGCGGTGACGTGATTTCTTCCACTCGGTAACTTGAATGAAGACACCTGGTGACTCTGCATTTCCTTACAGGGGTTTACGTCATTGGTACAGCAACAATGCTACCAAAAAAAGTATTCACAGGATTGATGTAATGTAAGCAAATGTCTGGTTACAGTATTTGTTGCATAAAGGACTGTCAGTACTCAGTATCACAAAACCCAAGCTGTCCAACATATGTATCTATTTTTCAACATAATGTGTGCATCCATTTCTAACCACTCTACCCAGTACAGGGTCATGGGGGAGCTGGAGCCCATCCCAGCAGTGGCTAAAAGGTAGGATTCACCTTGGCCAACACGCCAGTCCATCACACAGAGAGACACACCCCCCTCACACCAGGGTCAATATTCCCGGAAGCAAATTAACCTACCACCATGTCTTTGAACTGGGGGGAAACACACACAAACACATGGAGAACATCTCCACACAGATAGTACCCCAGGTCCGGAATTGAACCCAGGGACCCAGCCCTGAGAGACAGCAATGTCGACCTCTGCTCTACTCTGCCACTGCCTTTTGAAAAGAAATGATGCTTAAAAGTATTTACTCCCCTGATAGTAATTTTTCAACTCTCCTTGAGAAAGAATTGTTGGATGCTTGAGGGCTTTGTCATCATCATACCAGTCTTATCATTATCAATTGCCAAGTATTTCCACAGGCACTCTCACACAGAACACTCCTGAAATGGTTAGATGGGTATCAGATCCACCCTGAAGGCCGGGAGTATTCTACATCTGGTGCCACTTATGAGGTGATGTTGTCTGCACACATTTAAAGCAATGTTTCTGTGGTTTAAGAGAAGATATTACCCCATACTGCAATCCAGCTGGTATAGCTCCCCATGAAGAGGTAACAGGCAAGCGACAGATTTTAAACGACAGAGAAAAGTCATACAGAAATGAGATCTTTTGTGGTGACTGTTGAATCAATCACCCAGGGAGCACAAGACACTTTAATTGGCCCAAGATAACACTGGTTGCCTCTAGCTTGTCCAGCGCACTAGATGGCCAGGGCCCTGAATTCTCCCTCTCCATCTCTGCTGTGTGACCTGAAGTGGCCATTCATTTTCCAGCTCAACTAATTGCACATGGTTCACATGATGGCCTCTCAGAAGCCTCCAATCACATTACAAGCCCTCTGTCCTCCACCTTTGCCCTCCAAGCACCATCTTTGTCTTTATCTGCCACTGCTGTGTCCCTGCCGTTCATTCCCAAACAAGTTCTTCTCCACACACGTTACACATTCTAACAACCCTGAGTGCAACAGAGAGGCTCATGTCCTAGAGAAGCAACGGTGGGCAACATGTAGTTCCAGAACTGTGGGTGGCCTTTGGAGACATAACACACAGGCCCAAGGCTTTACAAAAATAAATGTTGTTTTTTTTTTAACCTGAGCTATTTTATAAATTCAAGAACTATTTTCGAAACGGACCATCCACACATACACTGAAATGCAATAAGGATGCCTGTGGATTTTCCAACATCTAGTTCAAGGATCTCAAACAATGGTCCTCAAACCTCAAACAGGTATTACAAGTGTCCTTCAAAACATACATTTATAAAGGCCTGAGACAATTTCACTATGATCGGTTATATAGGCAGTTTGTTGAATTAAGTCATTGACAGATCGTTTGGAACACAGTTTAATCTTCATCTCTCATTGAAGCGTCCATCCATTTCTAACCACTTTAATCCAATTCAGGGCTGCGAAGGAGCCAGTCTGTCCTGGAAAACAATGAGTATAAGGCATTACAGAGCTCACACAGACACAGACACAGACACAAACACACACTCACTCCAGGAACCATTTTCCCAGAAGCCAATTCACCTACCAGTATGTCTTTGAACTGTGGGAGGAAACCAGGGCACCTGGAGGAAACTCAAGCAGAACATACAAACTCCACACAGACCATCCCAGGAATGGAACTCAGAGCCCCTGTACTGTGATTCAGCAACGTTAACCACTACTCACCCCAATGCTGCCCTGTATTGAAACATTATTTACTTGATTGATCAACCGTTTAAAAAGGTGTCCCTTCCCTTGAAATAACAGGCTATTTAGGGTGACATACAGTATGAGAACAATGGGACTGGGGATCTGAGGTCTAGTTAATCCTATTCTTGAAGATGTACTATGGTTCGAGATGCTGCTTGTAAGCCTACAGGTGTCGTCTACGAGGTATTTTAGGTTAATAGATGTTGCTGGAACCCCTTGGGTTTTTGTGTGGGTGAAAACTCAAAAACAAGCTCTGGTCTTGGGAAAGAGCCACCTGAACAGTTAAGATAGTTTGAAATGTCACATGAAGCAATGACCTTTTTCTACAGATCTGTCCCTGAGAATGTTTTGATCTTCCCCATAATTGTGTAGTTTGGCAAAATTTCAGCCCAGGATAAGCAGCAGCTAGACGGAGCAGTGTCGATGGTACATTGTTACTCTTATCAGGCTCCACTGTTATATAATAAAATAATAATAATAATAGATAGATAGATACTTTATTGATCCCGTGAGGGAAATTGCAGAAAAAAAAATAATAATAATAATCACCACACATCAGCTATCAGTGAGGAGGAGAGCAAAGTAATGAAGCCAATTCGTAGATAGGGATTTTTAGGAGGCCATGATTGGTAAGGGCCAAAGGGAAATTTGGCCAGGACGCCGGGGTTACACCCCTACTCTTTACGAGAAACGCCCTGGGATTTTTTTTAACGACACAGAGAGTCAGGACCTCGGTTTTACATCTCATCTGAAGGACGGTGCCTGTTTACAGTATAGTGTCCCCATCGCTATACTGGGGCATTAGGACCCACATAGACCGCAGGGTGAGCGCCCCCTGCTGGCCCCATTAACACCTCTTCTAGCAGCAACAACCCAGGAAGTCTCACATCCAGGTACTGACCAGGCTCACACCTGCTGAGCTTCAGTGGGTTGCCAGTTGTGA